AGTAGTATGAAGTGCTATTTGTCTCCTCAGCTTTTCTAAAGCTGTCTAATCCAAATAACAGTGTGTATGCTTGCATGCGTACACACACATGCTAATAGAGAACATACTGGGTAGTAGATTACTGAAAAATCAAGACATATAGGCTAGACTCAAGGGCCTTATGAAATTTGTAACTGTTTGCCTAGGAAGACATAAAATACTAGGTCTATTTTTATTCATATCCTGAAACTCCCAGACAAATCTATCAATAGACTTGAGCTCTGGATGAAGTATGCCTAAAAACACAAAGTTTTTCAGCCTATAGTTTACATTTCAGTAAGCCTTCATATATACATATACCCACAGCATGATTAAGCAAGGGTGGAAACTTTTTTGTTTTTTAAACACATAGTTGGAACAAATAATTTCATAGATAAAAGTAATTTCTGAAGTACATAAAGTGTCTATTATTCAACATTCAAGTCTCTGCTCAAATGTTACTTCCTAGTCTTCCTTAATACCCCATCCAGAAAATTGTTCTGATAATATTTTTATTTTCCTAATACCACTCTCTGAAATACTTTGTTTATTCATCTATTAGCTTATTTGCTAACTCTAGAATTAAGACATCCTGTATGTCTTGCTCACCACTGTATTTCTAGCAGATGCTTGGCACAATTATTTGTTGAATAAACTAATTTCTCTGTGTATGCAATAGATCAAAATATACCAAGGAGCACAGAAGCAATCTCTCTCTAAATATATGAGATTCTCTCCCCTCCTCTGCCCCCACCCATCCAGACACACTTACCTGGACTACAGAGTGTTTCTAATTTTTTCACAGTATATTATTCTCAGTCAGAGGTGGAATATTTTGTTGCTTTAAAGTAAGTAATACATATTGCAGTAAAACTTATGTAAGCCTATTCAAACTAAATAGCTTTGATGGGAAAACAATTTTATACTTTTGGAAAAATAGCCCCAAACTACCCATAAAAGACAACATTTATCTCACAACTTTTATATTGGTTAAAAATAATCAGATGAAACAACTTTGAACACGGCAATTTATTTTATGCATTATTTAAATCCGCTGTTTAAAAATGTTCAAAAGGCACTTCAAGAAACATTTAAAAATACATTTTTCTGACTTAATGGTGATCACTTAAAATAAGCAAGTCACCAGACATTTTTAAACCATTCAGAACACCATTACCTTAAATAATTTTTAAATTCCAAAACACAAACATTCACTATGTAGTACAACACACTGCTTAGCAGTAAGATTAGTTTCCCTCTAATAATATACTTCATGTAGGTTATTAATTTGCAAGGCCCTGCAAAGTTACTAAAACTTAATATAAACTGAAAACTAGAGAGGTAAGGGAGTTGAAATAGAGCACAATTCAACTCTAAAACTTTAGAGTTGGTTTCTCTAAAGAGAATTTGTAAAATTCCTTATTCTAGCCTGTATTAAAGTTTTTATTTCAAATCTTATATATAAACACATTTTTAAAAAAATCAACAGAGGTTACATTAACATTTAGCATAAAATCTACCACACGTTGTCTGCCAGATTGCTTCGGTATGTTTCTGTCAGGCCTACTATAAAGCAGAAAAATAAAGCAAATGAGATTTTTTTTGTTGTTGTTTTTGAGAAAAGGGTGAGTGGAAGAATCCAAATAACTACTTCCTTTAATAATTGTAGATGTAGAATTAATTTAAAATTATAGATTTTTAAGCAGGGCAAGTATCTCCAAAGCCAGTAGGCATTATTCTTAGACTTTTACTTTCCGTTTTATAGGGAACCCTAGTTAGTAGGTTTAAAATTATCAATTAAGTAATAAAAATTCTAATCACTATTAACAGCCAAATTAACCCTGTGAAGGCAGCATTTAAGAGTAACTAGAAAATGGAAGTTAGTAATAAAGCAAATAAAGAAGGGCAATAAACACAAGGCAGAAACTGTCAAAGAATAATAGTCTAATGAACTGAAAACTTAAATGGCAAATAAAATGCTAGATATAATTTAATCAAGGGATTCTTTCAAGTATAATAAATAGTGCATCAACCTGGTAATAACTATAGTTTGACAGTCTCAAGGGAAAAATTAATACTCAAGAAAACTGTGAAACTAACCAGTTAGCAAATTTAATGCTCAAATCCAATTCCATATTAAAAAAATATTAAGAGCTGATCAGTGATTTATTTTCATACCTCATTACAGTAAGAAAAACTCCTCTGAAATTCGTATTTGAAAGCAAACTGGGACAAAAATCTGCTTTATGAACTTTCCACTAGAAAATACAAGCATACCATTATTAGAGAGCATAAGACATCAAAAGCCTTATGTTTTGAAACCATACTAAAATCATTTACCAAATAACAAAGATCTTAATCTAAAAGATAAATACATCATCATCATGAAATCTGATTTTATGTGCTCTATGAAGTACTTGGAGAATTGCTTTTTTGTTTTTCTTTTGCTTTATTAGGTCAAACAAAACAATGAATTAGCAGAAAAATGTATGTTATAAAATAGCATTTACTACTTCAATTTTTTTTTTAACAATTGTGGAACTTTTTGATGACACTTATGTATGCTTTTAATAAATTATGTACTTATTAGTACTTAATGAACCCTTCCTGCCTCAATATAAAATTACTAAACTTGGAGAATTACAGATTTTATTGTGGGCCCTGATATTAGTCACTTTGGAGAAGCTAAAAATTTGGCCAGAATGAATGATCCAATGACCCTTTAAGTTATCTTTATTTTAGATTTAATATAGTGTGATCCTGTACTACAGTGATTTAAAACATGCTTTTTGAAAAATGTCTTAGTAATGGGGCAGTAATCTTCGTGTGTTTCAAACACTATTTGCACCAAAATCACGTAGGTTGTTGGGTACTGGTTCTCAAACTAGGATAAGAAAGACACCTGCAGAGTTTGCTTAAACACAACTGCTAGCCCCTGCCCTTAGAGTATCTGATTTAGTAGATCTGAGATGGAGCCCTGAGAGAGGCTGCATTTCCAACAAAGTTCCCAGGTGATGTTAATGCTGTTTGCTGGGACCACACTTTTGACAATCGCTGCCCTAGGGTATCTGGTAAGAATGCATACTCTTGGGCCCCATGCTTAAATTAGAATTTCTGAGATTGGGGTTTTCAGATCTGCATTTAACAACATCCTGGGCAAGTGTGAGAACCACAGTTTAAGAATCACTTTGACAATTTGGCTGGGTTAATTTGACTATTACTGGCCAATGTATCAGATACCACATAACATATACATAAAAATGGAAATAATGCTAAATGAATAACCCCAAGCCTGAGACAGTTCAAATGAACACATAGGGTTTGAATATAAATCCTACCTCTGTTACTTACTAGCTTTGTGACAGTGACAAAGTTACTTTAATTCTCTGAGCCTCAGTTTCCTTATCTATAATAGGGGAAAAACACCCAAATTTTGAGGATTAACACTATTATACACAGATTATCTAAGTACAGTACCTAGCATACAGTTGGCACTTGATAAATAATAGCTATTATTTCCTTATCTGGTCAAAGCAAATTTTTCATTCACTTAAATGCAGTATTTACACTCCAAGGTAACAGAATAATAATACAGTCTTCTATTTATTGCTCCCTATTCTGGGACAGACAGTGTTCTAAGAACCTTACATTTATTTAATCCTCATAAAAATCCTGTGAGGTAGGCAGTATTATCATCCCTAATTTACAGATGAGGAAACTGAGACACAGAGAGATTAAGTAAAATTGTTCAAAGTTACAAAAACAGTAAGTGTTGGAGCAAGAATTTAAATCCAAGCAAGTCTGACTCTAGAGCCCAGGATTCATCATAACATTCATTTCCTATGAGCAAATCTTAAGGTTTTTGGATATTTATAGTAAACCATTTATACGTCTAGTCAAGTAACACATATGAAAATTCATGTACACACCATGGTGAAGAGTTGTTCAAAGAATCAAATGAATGCCTTGAAATTTTGGCAGATGATACTACCATGGTAATAGGTAAAAATTGGTGCATGTTTTCACTATGTGGGCAGAGTAGTCCATGGTTAGCCAATGAAATGAACATCCTCTCAAATATACCATTCAAAGAGGTCATGATTTTGACATGTTTTGGCACAATAAATATAAATTACTTAGCTAGCTGGGCGCTGTGGCTCACACTTGTAATCCCAGCACTTTGGGAGGCCGAGGCGGGTGGATTACTTGAGTTCAGGAGTTTAAGACCAGCCTGGCCAACGTGGCAAAACCCCATCTCTACTAAAAATATGAAAATTGCTGGGTGTGGTGGCACATGCCTATAATCCCAGCTACTCGGGAGGCTGAGGCAGGAGAATTGCACCACTGCAGTCCAGCCGTCTCCGAAAAAAGGAATTACCTAGCTAAATAGCAGAGTCAGTGGCACGACAGCTATGTAAAATTGGCATAATGATAAACATAAGGGAAATGTAAATCTTTTGTACCATAAAAATAATCTCATAGAAAGTCTGTAAAATATTGTTATGACACACTGAGTACTGCTAAACATAATAAAAATAAAAAATTTCTTTCCCTTCAGAAACTCTTTAAACAGAGTCACTAAAAATAGAATGAAACATTTGTGAATGTTTTTGATGACAGTCTTGACTAGGTATTCTGCGTTGTTAGAACTATCCATTAGCAAAACAATTATCCCAAAATAGCATCAACTTTCAGACTTATTTATAAATTAAGTATCTACTCTTTCAATATATAACATTTTTGTTTAAGCAGTCTGCATTTTCTATTGTTTTTAATTCTTGTCAAAATCTTGCCACTGTAACTAACAGTCACCTCAGATCCTATAAATGAATTTTAAAACTCTGCTTTAAACAAGTTATGAAAGGCACAAACAAGTTCTCATCTCAACAGGATGACAATGAAATAAACCATAACTATGTAGTTGGAAAGAGTTTAAAATAATCAATTTAAAATGTCAGTAATTCCTGAGAGTGGCACTGTTATGAGAAAAGCATCCTCAAATAGCATTAAATTTATTAGTTACTCATAATTAACAATGGGTAAATTTGGGAACAAATATTGTAAAATACATGTTTACAAATGCTATGAATGGTTTGAGTAAATTAATAGTGGAGAATGGTATTCAAGAGTGGCTAAACATATTTAGAAGAGAGACAACAGAGATTCCGTAAAAGATTACCAATTAGAATCAAGTATATAATATAGTCAAGGCCCATGATAATTTTAAAGTGTGGTTTTATTAATGCACTTCAGGGTAAGTGCCAGTTTTATTTTAGCTTCTTCTGGAAGAAATACTACCAATTATAAATAATCACAGCAACATTTTCATTAGACAAAAACTCTGTGTGTGTGTGTGTGTGTGTGGATCATTTATATCATACTGCAAATATAAACTCAATTCTTGAGCTGTATTAACAACACTGAGCAACAATATTTCTTTCTAAAATTTTCTTTAAGGCAGATCTGTTTATTACTAACATGGTGCAGTGTAGTTTTAGTAAATTTAATTATTTCAGTTTCTCAGTGACAATAATACAGATGGTCAGAAAACAGGCAACAAAATCTCTTTTCTAATTCCTCTACCTGGCCACCATTTTAAAAACACAAGTTCTTCATATATATAGATATATTTATATATTACTGTATCAAAACACATTTTAACAGACTTCACAGCTCATTTAAAGCTTCAGTTTATAGTCATTCATGTGAAAGGTTTCTATAAGGAATGTTCACTTAGAATTCCTCACTGGGATTCCAGTGTTCTATGTCAGAAATGCAGAAGTCCTTTTTCAGTGCAATGCTAGACATTTTACCTTTGTTCACTCATGATTTTCTTTCAAGGGTTTCCTAACTTCACTTTTGTATCTTCCTTTTTGTTTGCTTGACTAATTTCCTTTAGTATATCTTCAGGTAAGGTAGGTTGATATCTGTATAAATAACCATATGGACGAAGATGATAAACGAGGTATTCTAACTCATACATAGTTGTAGAATCAACATAGTGAAAAGAAACTGCAAGATCAGAACAGCAACCAGGACCCTAAAAAAGCAGTGGAAACAGGCATTGTTAATAAACAGCACATTGCTAGCATACAATATTTACATACTTATAAAGGACAATGTAATTTTAAAAGAATGCAAACATTAAAGATGGCAAGGTAAAGCAAAGGAACCTAATATACTAGACCTGTGGAATAAATCAATAGTTTACTTAGATGTCCTAATGATTTAAAACTAATTGAAATTGGTGAAACCAAGTGAAATTGTGGAAAGTATTTTTAACTGAAATAATATTCTCTCACACTCTTTAGCAGATAAAATTATTGAGATTTCTTCAAATCAAAGGAGCAGCCATACAAAGGATAAATATCCTCCAACATCTGCTTTCTCTTCCTAATTTTCTCACTGTAATTTTTTGCGTGGCTCAGACTCGGAAAGATACCTCTGGGGCATTCAGTGACTACAAAGCCTTGCTCATTAGGTGTCTACAACCCAATACACTTCATCTATATATATCAACCCATACAGTACAGTATTTGAGACAAAGCTCTCAAGCTAGACTTGGGTTTGAACCCAAATTTTGTGGGCTAGTATACGACCTTGAGTAAGCTATTTATTCTCTATAAGATTCAATTTCCACATCTGTAAAAGGTGGTTATTTAAAGGAGACAATGTGTGTAAAATGCTTGGAATTACCCTTTGCTTAAAATAAGTGCTCAATAAATGTTAGCTATTATTGACTGAAAAATCGTATCAGGTGGCCCTCAGGTAGGTCAGATTTAAACCTTTGTCCAATTATGTAATTCTCATAAATTCCTAATAGGGTTGGTATGAGAACAAAGTTTAAAATAAAACAATACAATGAACAAGAAAGCAATAAAATTAAGAAGACAAAAAGAGACGAATTAAGCAGTCAACCTAGAGTCAGAATTGGTATCTGGAGAACGTTGGTGTCATCCAGGTGACTCCAACAAAACTTCAGGCTCCATCTGACATCTTTGTAAAGAATGAGGGAGATAGTCTAGCAAGTTCCAAGAGAAGATGCATATTGATTGAATATTTAATAAATCTAGTAATTCATGTTTGGAAGTATGTAGCTTACAGTGTAGTAAAAGTTATCAAACTGTCTGCTGCATTTTCTCTGCTGTTATCTCTGAACTTTCCTTTGAAACACACACTGGGTATGTGGATTCTTAGACAACCTAGTCTTGCACCTTTAGGAAATACCAGAATAAAAGCAAATAGGAAAAATAACCAGATAGGTCAACTTGTGATTATCTAAACTAGCTCTGTCCAACAGATATGTGAGCCATATAGTAGCCACATTAAAAATGTAAAAAAAAGAAAAAAAAATGAAATTTATTTAACAGAAAAATTTCATCATATTGTTTTAACATGCAATAGTTTTACAATGATTAATTAAACCATTCTTGAAACCAGGTGTGTATTTTATTTATGGCATGTCTCAATGTGGACTAGCCAAATTTCAAGTGCTCAATAACCACATGTACCTTAGTGACTACTATCCTGTCCAGTGCATATTAAACTTAAGGACTAGACCAGTAATAGTTTTAAATTGCTGACCTCTGGAAGCAATTTTTATGTTCTCTAAAATAATTAATATTTTTGATAAGATTTACTGCATTAATTATGTTACTCTTATTTATATTTTACTGGATAGTCAGGATTCTGTTAGGCATTTATGCAATAAAAGACAATAAAAGAAAAAAGCTATAATTATTAGAAAACAAGAGCTAGCAGACAATTATGGTTACCCAAAAAACTCAAGAATCTCAAGCGAAGAATCATCAGAATAGGGAATTCAGTTACAAAGCCAGATTTTAAAGATGCTTAAAAAGAAAACCAAACAAATAAGTTTTCATATATATCAGTAAAAAGGTTAAGTTTTTAAAAAGCCCAAGTAGAACAGTAACAGAAATATTGCGTACCTATGGAAATGGTTTATAAAACTTGACCAAAGGACCTAAAAGGCAACTTAAAAAAAATCCTTGGCAGTTATCCCTAAATTAATGAGCTTGTATGCAAACATAAAGAAATGAGTTGCCAAAACACTTAGAAAAAAAGAAGAGTTAATTTGCCCTTAGAATAATAACTTAAAATTACTGTAAAGCTACAAGGTTCAAAATAATATGGTGCTGGGCCAAAATCAAATTAGAACAATGGCATAGAACTGAAATCCCAGATATAGATCCTACTATAAGTAAGGGCTATCGTGTACGATAAACGAGATATTTTAAATCAGTAATGAGTTAAAAAATGGCAGTAGAATAATTAGTTAACAATTTAAAAAAATCAGGAGCTCTCTACCTCAATTATGTACTAATATGTTTCAGACAGAATAAATGAAACTGAAGAATAAAATAAATCATATTTGACCACTTCTGACCTACAGAAAAGTCAATTTTTCATGTAGAGAGATATACATAAACAATTACATATATATTTTAAATCTACCATATTAACACTCACTGCAACTTCTCTGGTGAAAAGTCTATTACTAAGAAGGTGGAGTGGGAAGGGAACTGCTTAAGAGTCAGTTCTGAACAAGAAATTTAGGAATGTAACTCTTTCATGAATTAGAGTATCTTTTACCCTGACTCGCTAGATAAAAATTTTCTGTATTTTCAGTAATTAGTACATAGAAAAAAAAGTATAAGATTTAAACTCATTTAGGGGGAAGAAAACTTACTAAATGATAGATGAACAATAATAGAATTTTAGTTTCACATTGGGTTTATGTAAGAATCTCCTGATGAACAACAGGCAATGTCAGATTGATGGGTCAATTTTGGTACTCTGAATTCTGTTTTATGTTCTTCAATATAATTGGATAAATTTTTATAGAAAGAACAAATGTGCCATCCATTTAATAAACCACTACAATGTAAATAAAGGATGCACTATATTTATTTTGTTCATATAAAGCATATTGTTAGGTATACTTTATTTGCAAACAGGAATTATAGGCAGTACTTTTGAAAGGGAGGCTATTTTACTGTTTACAAAATAATGACAATTATGATGTCCCTTTGCTACTCTTGTATGTATACCCAACATCAGATACTCTCAGTAATATCTTATGTGCATTTGGATGTATTTGCTACATGTTTATATTCTTGAATTTGGGTAAATTTTTTATATGGGAAAAGGATACAGAATTAAGAAAGGAAAAGATCAAGTCATCTTGGAATGGTCAGAATATATTAAGAAAAGTTTACATCAAACAAGCATCCAAAGTGGTACTCTCACTAAAACAGAAAAACAGATTATGAAAAGTTTCCTTTTAAAGCTGATTACCTAAAGCTCGGGTCAGATGTTCTAGGACAGGATCTCTGAACCATGGTACTACTGACATTTTGGGCAAGAGTAATTCTTTGCTGTAGGAGGCTGTCCTGTGCATTTTAGGATGTTTAGCAATTAGTAGGTTTATAATGTAGTGGGTTTTTACCCATTAGATGCCAGTAGCAGCCTCCTAGCTGTAACAACCAAAAATGTCTCCAGACCTTGCCAAATGTCCTCTGAAGGCAAAATTGCCCTGGGTTGAGAATCACTGTTCCAGATGATGATCTGAAAGCATTGCCTTATGAAGATGAGAGTAGTAGCATGAAGTCTATTATTTATATGTTAGGTCCAGAGAAAAGAAGGCATAGAGAACTAGGTTTCATGATCCCCGGTCTCATTCAATTATCCACTGAAGCAATGCTTATAATAGTGAACATAGCATATACATAATTAACATTGATAAATCTCAATGTTGTATGAAAAGGGGAAGTTGTAGAAAGATGCTTATTTAAAAATCTGAAAAACAATATTATATGTTATTGATACATAAACATGTAGAAAAATATGAAACATTCATGTTAATGAGTAATATTAAATTCATGACAGTGGTTAACTCCAGGGAAGGAGGTTGGAGAGGGTACACAGGCCTCAACTATAGCATTTTTTTCTTTAAAAAACTCTGAAACAAATGTGGTAAAAGATTAATATTTGGTAAAGATTGGGGCATAAGTACAATGCATATTCTGAAATATTTGTACAACTGGAATACTTCATAAAATACTGTATTTTAGATACAATTCTCAGGAATGTGAGCCAAGGCTTATTAAATGCTTACTGTGTGAAGGGCTGTACTATGTTGTAATTACAACTAAATAAGACAAGTACATTATGTCCATCTTACAAATGAGGAAACTAAGGCTCAGAAGTCAGACAAGTCGTTCGGCTATTAAGTGGGAGAGCAGGATTTGACTCTAGGTCTTTCTGAACCTCCACTAAGTCCTCCTGATGACTAGAAGGCTCTTTACGCAGATCTTCACACAGCTTGCTCTCTAATATCACTCAGGTTTCTGCTCAAAAGTCACCTCTTTGAGAGGCCTTCCTTAATCACCCAAACCAGAGGACTCCATCCCATTCTGGGTCACTCTACATCCCTTTACTTGGCTTATTTTTCTTCAGGGCACTTACTACTAAAATCCTATTTTATCTTTATAAGTCTGCCTGTTTACTGTGTATCTCCTCATCCAGAATGTAAGGTTCACGAGAACTGGAATTTGGCTGTGATTTACTTCTACATTCTCAGTGCCTGGCATATAACCAAGAGATGTTTGCTAAGTGACTACTGCTGACGTCCCTGTTCTCATCTATTTTGTTATACTGTCACTCTATTTAAAAAGACTACGAAAGGGCCGGGTGTGGTGGCTCATGCCTATAATCCCAACACTTTGGGAGGCCGAGGCTGGTGGATCACAAAGCCAGGAGACCATCCTGGCTAATGGTCTTGGAAACCCCATCTCTACTAAAAATACAAAAAAATTAGCCGGGCGTGGTGGCAGGCACCTGTAGTCCCAGCTATTCGGGAGGCTGAGGCAGGAGAACAGTGTGAACATGGGAGGTGGAGTTTGCAGTGATCGGAGATGCGCCACTGCACTACAGTCTGGGAGGCAGAGTGAGACTCTGTCTCAAAAACAAAAATAAGAAAGAGTCCTCATTATTGGTACTAAAGAAACATACACATATTAACACATTTTTATCAACAAAATTCAGTCAGTCCAAGTATTAACATAGTAATAAAATTTCTAAACTTACCTCTACAGGAGGATAATAGTTGTAATTCCAGTACCAAAAGGTTCTAGGTAGATAACCTTTAATTAAATGGTGTTCTGGCACAAAGGGATGAAAAGTTTCTTTTCCAGTGGTATCTCTGGAATCTCCTGCTTCTACATTTATAATTTCCATGCATCTCCCCAGTGCTAAGTCTTCAATGGAGGAACTATGTGTACACTTGTCTGTTTTAAATGCATCAACAAATCTTTTCAAGGCTTCTTTGCTTAGTACATATCCTGCTCCTCCACTCATGTAGCCCTGTTTTACATAGGGCTTAAATCTTCTCCCAAAGTAAATGGGTTCTTCAGGGTCGTATTTCGAAAGAAGCCACCTCAAATTGTCTAGTATGACATATGTGTCATCATCTGCTTTCAAAAACCAATCAGCATCTTCTAAATAATGTTCATGAACATACTGAAAAGCTTTAATTGTTTTCCAGTATAGTTGATCTCTGCCTTCTTTGGTTTTCAATCCCACAGCAGGGAAGTCTTTATTTTCTTCTGAACTCATAAACAACACTTTGTTACAACGCTGGGCCCATGTAGCTTTGACATGTTTGGCCTTTTTCTCTAGGTTTTGAGGGCCGGTCATAACCCAGCAAAGAATTTTAACTTTCTGATAGAGGTTTTCAGCGATGTCTGTGTTCTCATCTATTAAAATATTTTAAAAAGTTATTTACATAGATGTAAAATCCAAATATTAATAAATTATACTGAAGAAAGCATTTTCCTAATTTCAAAGGTCCTCCTATTTATCCCTCTATTAGTGATTTAGCCAAAGGAAAGCAAAACTCATCCTAATGTAAACTGACATTCTGATTTATTGGTTTCACGTCAGTGTTATCCAAGACATCACTGGAGCTCATAAGAGTTGACATTATAATCTAAATTCTTCTCAAACTGTAGTTTACCAATTAAAAGCAACAGCATCACCTGGGAGCTTGTTAGAAATGCATAATCTTAGGCCCCAACCCAGACCCACTGAATCAGAATCAGCATTTTAATAAGTTCCCCTGGTGCTTCATAGCCATGCTAAATGCTGCCTTAAATAGTCTCTGCTTGGCACTTCATAGAAGAAAGCAGCTGGTTTTTAATAGATTATTGACAGAAATTTCTAACTGCTCTGAATGAGTTTCTGAAGAGCAGGAAAGACATGCTGCTGAAGTGGCAGTTCATTTTTGAAGTTGACAAGAATCAACTATAAAGAATTTCTACAAGTACCCAGAGGTGGTAAAAGTTCAAAGCACAGGAGTTGAGATTACTTCCTGATAGTAACATACCTCATTCCAAAATGTAAATCCACCAATCAAAAACAGAAAAGAACAATGGTAGACGTGGCAATTCCAAGACTAGAGCAGTGCTCTTTAAACTACTGGTTTGCAAAGAAATAAGGAGCTTATACCAGAATATAAAGCAACACATTACTTTGAAAAAGGCCTACCATTAGAACCAACCAACCAAAATGTCCACTTAACTAAGCAGTGAGCTTAAAACTGATTTACATCCTAGTGTAACCTCATTATCTTGTGCAGACAAACAGTTTACAAACTGTCAGGCCAGGACCGCATTTTGAGTAACACTGGTGTACAGGAAGAGCTCAATGATGAGATTCTAGATGAGTACTTCTTAAGCTATCTGTGGTGAAAGGCCAATTTTTATTTCTAATACCGGTCTATACTGTGTAAATAGGATAAAAATGAATTATAAGAAAAACAAAACAGAAATATAAAACACAAGCCCTATATTTTTATTTTTAGCTTCAGACAAAATTACTCCAATTACAATAAAAGTTTCTGCTTACTCCCAAATAAGCAGCCATTCTTTAGTTATAGGACCAGAATGAGTCTATGAACTGACTTTCAGTAGCAATGTTCTGGGCAGTATCCTGATGAAGTATGTGCTTAAAATTAAGGTCAAACAGTAAGTTACTTAGTCCTATGAGAAATTAACAACGAAGGCATAATATACTAGTTAACCAACTGAGAGGAAATAATGGGAAAAGCTGGGTGGAACATAAAAATATTCTCATGTCCCGGCTGGGCGCAGTGGCTCATGCCTGTAATCCCAGCACTTTGTGAGGCTGAGGCAGGCGGATCATGAGGTCAGGAGTTTGAGACTAGCCTGGCCAACATGGTGAAACCCTGTCTCTACTAAAAAAAAAAAAAAATACAAAAAATTAGCCGGGCGTAGTAGCGGGCGCCTGTAATCCCAGCTACTCGGGAGGCTGAGGCAGGAGAATCACTTGAACCCGGGAGGCGGAGGTTGCAGTGGGCCAAGATCCTGCCACTGCACTCCAGCCCAGGTGACAGAGTGAGACTCTGTCTCAAAAAAAAAAAAAAAATTATCATGTCCCTCTGAATATCAAGATTCACAATCCAAAAGGACAATAGCAGACAAAATCACCTTACTTTCAGTCAGAAAGCATAGACATCTCATATCCTTGAGGAGCCCAATCTCTTAGCTATACAAATATACCAAACCTTGAATGGACAGAAATACTGAATGCAAGAATCCCCAATCTGTTTCATTCAGGCAAGACAGGTTTGTCCACTGCCGCCTGATAAATAATTTTTCATTCACTAATTACTTTGTACCGGGCATGGGCTGGCACAGGAAATGAATAAAATGAGTAAGACACATTTCCTGCTGCAGAGAAAGTCAGTCCATTCAGGGAGCCTGAACCTGACACACAAACCAGTAATTGCTAACTAGTAAGACATGTTATTATAGAGGTATGAACAAAGGATTCAATGTGCTGAAGGAAAAGAAAGTAGTGGCTAATAAATCCTACAGAGCAGTATATAGGGACCTGGGTAGAACAAAAAGAAAGATAAAAATAAAGAGATGACACAGAAAATAGGTTATAAGTTCACCAAAAGGAATGGTGAAGTCTGGCTGACTGCAGGTACATGGGTATAGCTGAAGGTTTGAATCAGAAATGCACTGTGGACTAAGAGGAAAAGATGAAAAATGGTAAAGAAGTATCATAGAATGTACTGATAAATGGAATTGGCTAGCATGTGAAGGCAATCACCTACCATGATTTCATAATTTCTGGCACTGACAGATGCTAATGAGCTATATAAAATAAAGAATAGAGGAGGAAGAGCAACTTCTAGGAGTAGGAAGGAAAAGGAGACTCAATTTACACATGCTGAGTCTGAAGGGAGTAGACAAACTTTTAGCATACCCCACATGTTGTAGGTCATTGAGCTGGATAAGTATGTATCTAATACACATGCCTATAGTGAGGCCTAGTACGGCCTACTGTTAGTAGGGAAATCTGGCTCCAGTTGATCATCTAAAGCCATGTAGCTATGCTACAGAGCAAACACACAGTGATCAAACTGTTCTGTAAGAACACAGAGCACCTGCTCAGAGCTGAATTACTGTTATATAAACAATCCCAAAATATGACATAGTATGCATGTGTTTGCTAGTTGAGAAAACGGAACCAGGCTTTGAAATCTCACCCTTCAACCTCTGATTGAGAGGTAGTGAAGAAGTAATTATTACTGGGAAGAGAAGAGAAGCAACTCTGAATAGTGGACCCTCTGCATCCCAGAATTCCAATAGTTTTCAAGCTACTTATATTATTTTCTGTCAAACCATATTTTGCAGAGATCTTTGCATTGTGTTAATGTCTTCCCACAATGTCTGGAACTGGGCTAAAGACAGTAAGAAATAGATGGAAATTAAAATTATGAGGGTTGATGATGTCACAGATAAACAGCTAAAGGACAGAAACTTGGAGATAACACTTAAGGGACACATAAATAACTCAACTGAGAAAATCTGGTTAGAGGTAGGAGGCTAGGAGAAAATGAAGTCTTTAGAACGCATCCTTGGTTTTTAACTTCCTTGTTCTTTGTGCCTCTTGAGGAAAAAAAAGAGTTATATTAACTATAAAAATATAAATTGAAATTTATATATACCTCAAGTTTCTCTAGGAAAATAAGACTTAAGCAAAAGCTATGACCAAAACAAGTAACAAAAACCAAAGACACACATATAACAAAACTGGACCTAAAAAAACATTTTCAGAAACAAATCTAATCTGAATAGTTATGCCCTTCCCCAAATCATGGTTTCTGAACCATTTCTACTTAAAAATTAATTCAAAATTAATATTCCCTAAATATATCTGGGTTTTAGCAATTCCTTCTCTCAAGGCAAACCAAGAATTGTTATTTAGTATCTGGAATGTATAGCCCATTTTAATCAACAGATATAGACAGGGATATGACAAAATTTAGACTAAAATACTGCTTATATTTACTCCTTAATAAAGTAAACCATACCTTTATGTTGGCTAGAATCTGCATTGAAGTTCATTTCTCCTTCTAGATGATTCTGTCCATTATCATCTGAATGCCTCGCATGAGGATCATTATGAAGAACATTAGGCTGGATGTCACCCTGTTCTCCCAACAAAATACTAAATAGCTGGGAACATAAAAGAAATCCTATTGCTGATCCACAGAGGAAGGTTAAAAAATTCAGCCAGGATTTAGAGGCCATTTCCCGAAAGTGTATTTCTGTAAGAACAAAAATTAGCAGGATGTTATAAAATCAAAACTAGATATATAACAGGAGTAAAAATTCTGGTAACATTTAGCTATAATGGAAAGTTAATTTCTAACAGTATTTAGCTATTTATTATCTATGAGTTTACCCCTCTATTTGCTGCTTAAACAGCACACTATGGAAAATTCATAAAAACAGATTAATTAGTAGGACAGTCATAGTTGGGGTGGGGTATGGATAAGTATGTCAGAATTGCACACAGAATTTCCTATTCTTCCCATCAGGATCCTTTCTGGATCTAAGACTACTTGTCATGTTGTTTTTCTTTCTTTGCTGTTAACTCTGAGTACTGAAGTCTACTTCCTTTTCTTTGGTAGCAACCACCACCCATTCTCCAACCCAAAAGTTAGCAAAACCCTTTCTGTAAAGAACTAGAAATGAAGTATTTTTGGCTTTTTGGGTCTCATGTGGTCTCTGTTGCATCTTCTTTTTAAACAATCCTTTACAAATGTAAAAAACAGTTTTAGTTTGTGGAAGACTAGGGTCAGCACAGTTTGGGGACCCATGGACCAAGCTGGCCTGCCACCTGTTTTTGTAAATAGAGTTTTATTTGAGCACACCCATGCCCATTCATTTATATATTGACTATGGCTACTTTTGCCCTAAAACAGCAGAGTGAATAGCTACAATAGAGGCAATATGTCTCAAAAAACCTTACCTAGCCCTTTATAGAAAAAGTTTGCTGGCTAGGCACAGTGGCTCATGCCTATAATCCTAGCACTTTGGGAGGCCACGGTGGGTGGATCACTTGAAGTCAGGAGTTTGAGACCAGCCAAGACAACATGGTAAAAAATTTAGCTGGGCATGATGGCATGCACCTGTAGTCCCAGCTACTTGGGAAGCTGAGGTGAAGAATCACTTGAACTCAGAAGGTGGAGGTTGCAGTGTACCAAGACTGCAGCACTGCACTCCAGCCTGGGCGAAAGAGTGAAACTCTTGTCTCAGAAAAAAAGAAAAAGTTTGCTGACCTCTGCTCTATACTGCAAGATCTTGGATGGAATCTATAATATTAACGAGATTAAGCAGGGTACCTGGGACACAGATGAGTGTTAAACTGCCCCAAAACCAAACATAAAGGCCCTTTTTAAGGGTTTGTTAACAATTACTACATGGTGAAGTTATAAATTTCTATTAAATTCCTTATAAGATTGGTCTTAACTCTAGTTTCCTATTCCTCAAGATAATTAAAATAGTAAGTTTACTAAGCATTTATTTATACCAGAAGCTGTCCATACATTATTTCATTTTAAATAAAATTTAATTTCAATTTCCTTTTTCATTCTCACTAAACCCATCTGCAGATGAGGAAAGAGAAATTTTAAAAAGGTAATTTTAAACAGGTAACTCATATAGGCTGACACAATCAGGAGGAGCCACAGTTTGAATGTAGGTCTGCGTGCTTAAAAAGCTCATGCCCAGCCAGGCATGGTGGCTTATGCCTGTAATCCTAGCAATTTGGGAGGCCAAGGCAGGCGGATCACCTGAGGTCAGGAGTTCAAGACCAGCCTCGCCAACATGGTGAAACCCCATCTCTACTAAAAATACAAAAGTTAGCCAGGCATAGTGATGCCTGCTTGTAATCCCAGCTACCTGGGAGACTGAGGCAGGAGAATCACTGGAACCTCAGAGGCAGGACTGCAGGACCGAGATCATGCCACTGTATTCCAGCCTGGGTGACAGAGACTCTGTCTCAAAAACAAAACAAAACAAAACAAAACAAAATCCCATGCCCTTTCCATTACATTTCTCAAACTCTTCACTTAATCACCACTAACAGCAGAGGGCAATGGGTAGTCAAAGTAGGGGTCTGGGAAATATAACCCTAAAAATAAAAATTTCTTTAAAATATTTTTTGAAAGCAAAAGGTACAAACTAACAATCACCACTACAACAATAAAAACAAAACAACTTCATATATGTCTGGAATGGCTGACTAGGTTCTTTTAGAACAACCAAGTACAATCAGAAATACTGAACAAAATGTAAAAAAATATAAATATACGTTTGAAGACATTATTGGTAAGATATCAAGGCAGTGAGAATTAGTAGGGCCAAAATCTGCAAGAAGAAAGGAGAGAAGCAGCCCAGACATTTGGCACAGCTCTATCCTCAAGACCATGACTGATTCTGAAAGAGAAAACAATAAGGGCAATAAAGCTAAGCAAAAATTAATGTCCAAAGTCTGCTTAGGAGAAGAGGTTCTGAGAAACACCTATGTTCTTATCAAGGACTCTGAAAGGCTACAATCTGGGAATAAGAACAAAACAAAAATAGACCAATCTTTACAAGGGCTCAAGTCTACGTTGGAGTCATCTCAGACACTGACTGGATGATCCACCCTAGCCTAACTGCAAAAATATTCTCCTGGAGAAATATAAAATCATGAAGAACCTGAAATTATTACTACATTTTTTTTTTTGGTATACAACATGGACAAAATTTTGATACACAACGTCCAAAACAACCAGGCATCAATATGAAAATTATGGCTAAACACAAAAAAGGAGACAATAGAAACAGAGCCAAAAGACAAGATTTTCATATCATTAGCTTTGAAATAACTATTCTTAATAAAGTCAAGAAATTAAATGGCAAGATTAAGAAATTAGGCATAGAATAGTCACAGCTGAAGAAAAAAAAATGCAGAATGAAGTATGGAAAAACAAATGGATTGAAAAAGAATTGAGCAAAAAAAAAAAAAAAAAAAAAGAATAAAGTGAAAGGGTCTAATGTTAAATGTTAACTGGAACGTTTGAGGGAGGAGACATATAACTCAGGAGAAGTGGTATTTAAAGAAATAATGACTGAATATTTTCCATACTGACAGAGTACCAACCCTCACATTAAAAAAAAAAAAAATCTACAAAACCCAATAAAGATTACAAAGAAAAAGAAAACATTACCTAAGTACATCAGTCAAACTACTGAAAACCAAGGACAGAGAAAAAAACTTAAAAGGTGTAATAAGATTGACAGCTGACATTTTAGCAGAAACAACAGAATCAAGACTGCAGTGAACTATTTTTAAAGTGCTAAAAAGAAAAGAACTACCAACCTAGCATTCTGTATCCAGCAAAAATGTCCTTCAAAAATGAGCCTTAAAAACACGTTCAGAAAAACAAAACCTAAGTGAATTTATCACTAAAAGGTCTACTCGAATTCTTCAGGCAGAAGGAAAAGAATTTCATATAAAAATTCAGAGATGTAGGAAGGGGGAGAGAGTCATAAAAAGGGTATGTATGTATGTAAGTAAATCCAAATAAATACTGGCTATATAAAACCTTTTTTGAAAGTCTCACAAGATATTAGTATTATTACCATTAAAACAAATTACAAAACTGGCATCAAAAAGTGTAAGGAGGAGCCACAGAGTTTAAGAGCTCTAAAGTCATTTCACTGTCCAGGAGCTGTTAAAAAAAATACTAATTAACAATAGCTTTTAAAAGACCAAGGATGTATGATATAATCTGTAAACAAACAAACAGCAAAAGAATATAATTCAAATAGAAAAAATGAAATGGGAAAATACCCCAAATCAAGGCAATATAAAAAAAATATACAGATGAGACAAATAGAAAATAGATAGTAAGGTGGTTGATTTAAAAACAAACATATCAATGATTATATTAAAAGCAAACAGACTAGAAGTTCCAATTAAAAGATAAAGATTGCCAGTCAGACTCGAGAAAAATAAACCCATCTACACACAGCTTACAAGAGACATATATTAAATATATTTATAAAGTTGAAAGCAAAATAATAGAAAGATATACCATACAAACAGTAATAAAAGGAAAGCCTATTGATATCACATAAAAAAACTAGTAGTTACATGGCTTGTTCTCTGTGACATTCATTAAGCTCTACATTTATGATTTTACATACTTTTCCGTATTAACATTTATTTCAGTAAAAAGTATATACAAAAACCCCTCCATGTGTCTTTTTTATCCCATTAAGTACATACTTAATATATCCATATTTGATACAAAAATATTCCAAAATCTACAAGTAAAATTGACATGCCATGAAAACACACCATGCTTATGCTGCATTACGTATCATATTTCAGGTTCTCTCCTGAATTGTAATTGCAGTTTGGGAAGAACAACCCTAAGAGGAAGAGGAGAGGTGAAGGAACAGCACAGTTTAAGCAAAGTTGCTCATTATCTTGAGATGTAAATTAACCATCTGAAACTATCAGATACTTGTTTACACCTTTTGCTCTGTCTTAACTGTACCTTCAAGTTCAGAAAGGTAGACCTTCATGGATGATGAGTACATAGCCCCACTCAACAATCCCTCCTTCACCCCCAATCAAATTTCCCACAGGAAAAGCAGAAACAAGTTTACCATGTCTTTCTGCTGTTTTCTCTGATGAGGGGGTCTCAAATTCTCCCTCCCTACTGCCCCCTTTCCCTCATTCAGATTGGCCATTAGTGAAATCTTTATGTGCAAAAGATACAATAAAACATACCCCTCCTGTCTCAAGTGATTGTTTTGAAATTCTAAATATCTCGACTGTCTGAGGCCCAGTTCATTTAGACCTTGCTCTAACCAGAAATCTTGGTTTGAAATTTCATTCAAACAGCCAGAGAACTGATTATTCAAATATCTGTTTGATATTATACAAGTCCTTCCTTTAGCAGTATACATGATCAAGACAATCTACAAGAGGTATGTGATGTGAAAGTACCATGAATCGAAAACATGAAGCTAAGAGAAGTAAATGAAAAGTGTTATCACTCTTAATTTATTACGAAGAAAGACTAGCAGAATACGATTGAAGCAGTGAACCTGGAGGAAGATTCTAAGGTAACAGCAGATTCTGAGGTGTCACTCTCTACATCCTCTGATTCTCTCACTAATGCTTTGCCTTACAGCACACTGATCTTGAGTTTCCATTGTTTTTTGTCCTGGCTGTGATTTTGCCTTAATGCCATAGATAGCC